CCCTATGCTTCGCATTATTCCTTTCTGTCCAGGTGGCCCATAGGATCAGACAAGGAATAAGGAAGCCCACGTGTCTACTGTGTGTGCGGTGAGCAAAAAAACTCAGAAGCTCAAAAAAACTGTCTGTAGAGGGTGGGGGTATATGAGTATATCTGGCATAGTGCTCCCACACTCTCCTCACAGTCTCACTCTCAAAGAAAAGATGGGTGAAAGTCTCGATCTCAAAGGTACCGATCTCAGTACAATAATGGCAGCGGGAGGGGAAGGAGAACCCTCTCGCCTGCATCACAATGTCAATGGGAATGCGCCGTAAGAGGAGACGCCACAAAAAAACAAAAATGGTCAGGGTGAGAAGGTCGGTCCATATGGCCCCGAAGAGGCAGTTTGGCCGGTTGCCCAACCGCACTTCTCCCCAGGCTGATGACGTAGAGAATGCACCCGAGGATGTAAGTCTCTACCTCATGCCATCCAAACCTCCCTCCAGAATGAGAATCTGTCGGATCTGGTCAATCTCTAGACTACCCTCACCAAGAATATCCTCCATCTTATCTCTATCCCAAAGTCCACCCGTCCAAAGGTCCTTCACCTGCATGAAAGACAGGTGAGTGATAGACCTAGTACTCGAGAGAGGGGCCTCGCCGAACCACCACTCATCCCAGAAGCTAACCTCCCCAGAACCCAAGGTCCAAAAGATGTGCTTCTGAGCACGTCTGCCAACAGTGGTGAGACGTCTCCACTGTCGACTATCCCTAGCGGTGGCTATCACCCTGCATGGATGAGCAGCACCACCAGGGCAATATTTTCTTAGGAGGTATTGGGCCCAAAGGGACTTGCCCTCCCTAAGGCGCCACCACATCCTGTAGGAAAACGCAGTAACCATATCAGAGAAACGCCGAACCCCGAGCCCACCCTCCGAGTGGGGACGACAGATGGAGTCCCACTTCACCCAGTGGGTCTGTCGCGACCTCGCGGGCCCTCGCCATAGCTCCAAAAATAGCGGGCTAAGATCTGATCTAACTCGTGAATCGTAGACTAGTGGGGGTCAAGCACCGCGAGAAGGTGAAGAGGAAGGGCACAGAGAGTGCTCTTGATCAGAGCAAGTCGGCCTCCGAATGATAGGTGTCTATGGGACCAGCCAGAGATCCGGTCAATCATCCTCTGACGGACGTCAATAAAAAGCTCATGGGAAAGATGGCCTTTGTACAAGAGAGCCCCAAGGTAAGGGATGGGTAAGTCCCCACGAGCAAATCCAGTACGCTCGTGAATCTGGTGAGCCCAATGATCAGCAACGTGGTGGTCCATGATAAAAGAACTCTTACTAACACTGACTAGCTGACCAGATGTCTCACTGTAGTGGTCCAAAAGACTCATGAGAGCAACTAGCCCATTATCATTCGCACGAGTGAAAATGATAATGTCATCCGCGTAAGAAAGGTGGGAAATGGAAGGCCCACAGCCACGCGTGCTGTAGGTCATCCTCGGAGAATCGCGAATGAAGCCATCAAGGCAGCGAGAGAGATAGTCAGCCACTAGAACAAAAAGGGAGGGGGAAAGGGGGTCTCCTTGACGAAGGCCGCGGGTAGAAGGGAAAAAGGTCGTGGGGCTACCATTAATCAAAACGGAGAATGTGCAGTGTTCCACACACGCCTCCACAAAGCTAATCCAACGGTTAGGAAATCCCATCCGAGACAGTACCTCTCTGAGAAACGACCACTCGGCCCTATTATATGCTTTGGCCATGTCTAGCTTCAGCACGAGGTTCGGGGTTCGTGTTCGATTCACATGAGAGATGTCGTGTATCATCTCCTGAGCCAGTAGGATATTATCACTAATGACTCGATCCTTGATGAAACCACTCTGGTTCGGAGAGACAAGGTGGGGGAGGAGAGGGGCGAGGCGACTGTTGAGTACTATGGTAACTTATTCATCCCAAATAAAAGTACTTTCTTTTTTTTGAAAGACCAAATAAAAGTATTTGAATTGGTATAAATCGCCAAAATTGAACCGCTGCATTGGTTGGGCCGTACGTATCATATGGGCCTAGTGGAAGATATGAGCTTGAAAATAAAGTGGGATGGTCCAGTCCACTCCAGTTCTTGAGGTGTAAGTAATAATATAGTAAACCCTAGCTCACTCATCTCTCACTTCGTTTTGTAGCTCATTTTCTTCTCAGCAATCTGATCCCGCGCCTCCACCGTATCTTATCGCCATGGTTTGTTCTTCCGCCTCTCTTAGAGTTCTGTATCCTCACTGTTGTGGTCGCTTAATTTATTGCCTGTGCTCTTCAATGTAGGCGTCAGAGAAGAAATTATCGAACCCGATGAGAGAGATTAAGGTTCAGAAGCTCGTTCTCAACATCTCCGTCGGCGAAAGCGGCGATCGTCTCACAAGAGCTGCTAAGGTACGACGTTTTCACGATCAAGAATTCTGGTTTTGTTCCACTCTTATCATTTTCCATTTTTTTTTT